GTGATCAAAGTGGCGAATATGAAAATGTTAATCCACCTCATAGACCACCTTACAGACCTCCAGAAGAAATGCCTGAACATCCACCGTACAGGCCACCAGATAACGGATATAGACCAACAATGAGACCTTCTTATCCTTCTGGACCCAGAGTTGATCCAAATAACCATGGATATGGTCCAAATGGAAATGTTATTTACTTTACAACGGAATCTTCATATCATACACCTGATTATCTTGGTGGCTCAGTTTCACAGATACCCTATCAACCTGAGTCTCATTATTCAACACAAGCACCCACCCGAAGACCAAATGTCCATAGACCTTCATCGGGTTACCATCAGCAAAGTACAACAAGGAAACCTAATCGAAACCCAGGCTCTCAGAATGAAGGCAACTGTGGAGTCCGCCGAGGTGATATTAAAGATCGTATTATTGGAGGCCGAGACACGGAATCAAATGAATTTCCCTGGCAGGTTGCATTGAAAGACCGTTCTCAGGGAGTTTTCTGTGGAGGTGCAATTATCGGTAAAAGGTGGATTATCACAGCAGCTCATTGTGTTGTCAAGTAAGTTAACATAACTGTTTAATGATATTCATCATCACGATTGAGATAGACTATATGTAAATACTAATCAATAATCAATTGTCATTGAAAAGTTCAATAGCATTTCATGCTAACTTTATATCTTTTGAAAAAAATACAAAACAATGAACTCTTTCCACCTTCATTAAAGGGTAAGATCATTTAATTTTTCAGATTCACATGATAATTTGTTTCACAAAGTGATTAAAAAATGAAATGATCAAATTGATAATAATTCAATGTCCTGTATGCTTGGCATGAATCCATTTTTTAAAAATTATTTTATTCATAATTTAGCTTTTCATAGAACTAGTCAATAATTTCAATTCGAATCCATCAATCTTTAAATTTATATCGATATTTTTACCTGGGCTTGTTTTGTTATTTTAAACCTTGAAGCTTGATTTTAACAATTGGTGACACAAAATGACTTTCATTATTACCTGAGATTTCTTCATCAAATTTTTTTAATCCTGATTACTGTTGCTTTGATTCTGTTGATTCATGATAAATCTTATTCTGACTAGTGTTGAATAAATCTTATCAATGTTATTCAACTATTTGTTACCTCATTTATTAATGAATTATCTTGTCAGCGTTTTTTTATTTAACCAAATCTAACTAAATAATGACCCTTGTTCTTGATTTCTTTGATTAACTTTCAATGACTATCGCTTTGCATGTAACAATTCAAAATTTCAATTTTTCATCAACAAATCATATTAGTATACAGAAATCAATTTACACACAACAAGAAAAAAAATGTCTCACTCAAGCTTGCACCAGTTTGAACCCAATTTAGAGAACAACTGATTGATCTATTCTATTATTAACCTGTAATTAATTTTAATTGATCATTCCAGACTTCGTGATCTTAATTCAATTCGTGGTTTGGTTGGATCCAACTACCTGGAAGACTCTTCACTTCAAGAGATACAATTTGACAAAATGGTTTCTCATCAAAGCTATCGATCAGACACATTTGAGAATGATATTGCATTATTACATAGCAAATCTGATTTACCCCTTTATCCGTCCACATCATCCATCAACAGCATTTGCTTGCCCCGTGAAAAAGATACAAATTTCAATGGTAAAGGAACCATTGCTGGATGGGGTCGAACCTCTGAGGGTGGTTTTGATACATCTGAGACTCTTTTAGCCGCAGATGTTGACATTTTAAATGATGGAAAATGCAGAGAATATTATTCAGACAGGTTTAAATCAGGTAAACAAATATGTGCTGGAATTGAGGAAGGTGGCCGTGATTCATGCCAGGTAAATGAGTAACGTTTAATCATATAATTGAATGGATGATAAACTTACTAAATCATTTGACTCAACATTGTTCAAATTATTGGCTAGATTTTCATCGTTATCTTTTAGTATTTCCTGGTTGAACAGTTTTAATGGAACTCTAATTAAATTCTCTTCTCTTTCTTTTTTCCTCTTTCTCTTTCTCTGTTTCCAGGGTGATTCTGGAGGTCCATTAATCAAAGAGGTAGACAATAAATCCGTTCTAGTTGGGATAGTCTCTTATGGAAGAGGTTGTGGTCGTCGACGGTCACCAGGAGTTTACACAAAAGTTTCCCATTATGTTCATTGGATTCGAGCACAGATGCAATAATTTACTAAAGGGTTCCTAAGAATAAGTGTTAATAGATTCAAATGCAAAAATTAACGGTTTTTAACAAGGATATTAAAAAAACAAAGTTATAAAATGAAAGACTGCACTCTGCTGTTTAATTAAATACCAAAATTAGACTTAATTTCGTGAAGTAAACATGCTAAATAAGGCCAAACGCGATTCGATCTCAAAAAGAGGAATTTCACCCTATGGGAAAAATAGTGCATTACTCAAAGCTAATTTTTACTTTATTTTTACTGGTTGCGGAAAATGGCCTCACATTAGTTAGAAAAGGGGAAAAATGTCAAAATTTGCGCCAGGCTCGTTCTATTGAGAGGTTCTGAGTGTTGTGTTGCGCTGAAAAGGTCGAAGTAAAAAATCTAGCAACGAATATCTCTGATTCTAAAAAAAGTTGGGTGAAATTGTCGAAAAAAGTAGCTATTCGTTCTGGAATTAATAAAATAAAAAGTCTTGACTCGAAATTTTTGAAAACTTCTAAAAATGTTGTATGCAATGTTTAAAAAAGATTGCAATTTCAAAAAATGGATTAAGTAATCAATTTTGCTAAAAAAATTCATTTTATGTTCATTAACACTTATTCTTAGGAACCCTTTAGATTTTATTATGGTCTACCATTATACTCCTGATTGCTAGTCCGATCCACGAAATCCGATTGATTCACTACTCAAGCTCAAGACCTCGTCAGTTTATTTTCACCTTTTTCAAGATATATTACAGCTGCAACAATGAAATACAGCAACAATTAAGAGCTTGTTCTTTAAAATGCTCAAATCTAATACAAATCTTACAGACTACAATTGAGATTACAATTCTGGTCTCAAAACAAACACTTGTTTCTTACTGTAATTTATTTATATTTTATACAACAAAAATGCTTTAGACTATAATTTTTTCTATTGTTGATCTAATATTCAAATAAAAGAACGGGAATTACTTAAATGTTAACTTTGAAATCAATTGTACAAAAAAATAACATGCAATATCAGTAAAAG